CACTGGAGATTGGAATCGAGAATGTCTATTTCTTACTCACAAGTCCTAATATGGACGAAACCGGCCAAAAAACGACGGTATTTCTAATAGGCAAAATAAAATTTAGAATGAAAATAATTTTCTATCTTAATTGTTTTTCTTTGGATATAATTCAATGCTTTTCAGATGGGTAGTTGTTTCGAGAGAGAAAACACTCGTTCGTATTATTTTGTTAGATATTTCTATGAATTTTTCTTCTTTTACGTCTTTTCCACATTTGAGTTTGGAATTATTTTCTTTTCCAAACTGGCTGAAAATAGGCACAGTAGCTTAAAATATGTGAACATAAATTGAATCTATGTTAATTTCAAATTAAACATTCCAAATTTTTATACGATTTTAATCCAAAAATATTCTAGAAATATTTGTTTTTAATAGGTTATCATCTTAAAATATAGGAGGTGGAAAAATACACAAATAAATTAAAAATATTGTTACGTAGCACCCTGCAGTAGCCTGCGGCTATTATAGGAAACGTGCAGATAGAAAAAGAAGTGAAATGTTACTCATCGCCCTACAGGGTGCTACGGTCCTCATAAGTAAAAGTACAAGTAAAAGAAGATAGAATATTTCAGAAATGTCTCGAAATGTCATTCCACGTCAAAAAAAATCTAGACATATCGAGAAGGTTCGAGAAGGTAAAAGCCAGCTATATAAACCGATGATCCTGACGTCAGTTTTCAGTTTTATGATAGACGTTACATGTTAATGTTTGTTATTAGTTGTATAATTGTTGTTAAAGTTGAGTTGAAATAAATTGCGATACCAAAAACCTGTGTACCAGTATCAATCAGTAGAAAGTATAGAGATCTGGTCTCTGGTGTAGATGCAGTGCGCTAAAAGATAGAGAAATGACTTAAAAAGAAAAACAATTGAATCAAATTTTCACTGGACTTAAATAAAATTTGATTAGTGAATGACAGGAAAAATGATGAACTGATACGGCCTAAACGAAGTGACAATTTGGCAAAATCGCCACAAATCGTTCCCTAAGGGGAAATTCACCCCAATTCCAAGTTCCTAATGAGCGCTAATAGCTTGGGATGAGAGAAAAAAGTCGTCACTGCAATTTTCCAATTAAATAATGACTTTTAGTTGCCGATTGAGCTCGCGACAGAGTGAGGGCAGAATAAAAATGCGGCCAATCTTGTGATATTCTTTTGGAATCACGTTCAATTTGTCGTAACCACAGCTTCTAACAGGCCGTAATGGCACTGCGAAACGACTCGGAACGAGACCAACGATTTTATTTGAAAACGGCGCTTCAATCAAGCGACCCTTGACTTTGCCACAACTTAACTCGAATCCCCGTCAACAAGTCGACATTGTACAATCGGAGGCAAAAATGTTATTCAACTTGCTGGGCTACGTTATTTGCTAAAAACAATAATTATATTTATTTACAAGCTTACTATGTTACGAGAGATTAATAAGAAAAGTAAAAAATAATGTTCAAGTGTGTAATATTGTTTTAATTTTCAGTCATGGGTTTTCGACTGCAAAGCCATCATTAGGAAATTACTTGAAAGAATAAAGACCATTTAAAAAACTATAAGGTGCCCCGTAGTTCTCTTACTGAAAATACTTCTTTATATTGTCTAAATATTTGATATTCTTTACTAATAACAAACAATATTTCTAGAATACATAACCTATTGAAATTATTTGTTAAAGGATGTCACAAATAACTGAAAATGGAATATAGACTTTTAACTTAATAACAGGAATATTCTCCAAATTAATATCACGCTGAAATGGCATCGATTTAATTTATCAAAATTAAAGGGTAACTCAGAAAATTGGAAGATATGTCGTCGGTGAATGTGCAAAACCTCTTATTAGGCATTTTTCAAATTCCAGATTTTTACATAAATCTATTGCCGTATTAGAAATACATCTTTACTTAAAACTACGTATAAAAATTCATAATAATAAAGAAATTATAAGCCAGAAACAAAACCTCGTATTAGCGGCGTCTAATCAAATACACGTATGAGCCTGTTTTGTTACTGAGCCGCTATACTTCACATCGTGCTCTTGTTTAAAGTGACTTAAATTGATAACATGCATACTCCTAAGGCAGATCTACTGTTTCAGCCCTTCATCTAGTTGCTGGCCGGATAGAAAGATCCCTGGACAATAAGGAGTCCGCCTTGGGTATTTTGATAAAACCACCTTCCCAAAGATATTACACTCACTAACCAACAGAAATGTTCCACAAATGGCTAGTGGGTGGATACATAACATGCTCTCAAAGTGAGCAGTAAACATAAGTATAGAAGATGTGAATATAAGAGGCTTGATTGCGAGGGGATGTCCACAGGGATGGGTGCTTTCACATCTACTGTTGAATATGGTTCTCGACACCTCATCAGCTGCCTTAATAATGACAGTCACTACAGAATCGCATATACAAATGACCCGGTTATTCTGCAAACAGGGATTTTTGAGAACATACTCTGCGAAATAATGCAAGTAGCTCTAAAAATTATAGGACAGTGGTGCAAGGACCATTCGCTGTCTATCAATCCTAAGAAGACATAAATGGTCCTTTTCAAAAGGAAAAGATGAAAATGGAATTAAAACTTTCAGAACTTCTAAACACAAAACTGAACATTGCGACAGAAGTGAAGTACCTAGGTCTCACCTTTAACAGCAAGTTAACATGGAACTCGCATTTAAAAAACAGGTTTAAAACAGCATACATTGCTTATGAACAATGCTGCCGAACCATGGGACGCACCTGGGGTTTATTCCCGAGAGTCGTCGCATGGACTTATACAACTATCATAAGACCTATGCTAACATACAGTGGCGTTGTCTGGGTACCTAAAACTTAAAAATTAACAGCTATCCGTAAACTAGAACAAATTCAAAGAACAGCATGTCTCAACATAACAGGAACAATGAAAACAACACCGACCAGAGCGATGGAAGTCATTCTTAGTCTCACTCTCCTTGATATTTACATCAAGGAGATTGCTCTGAAGACAATGACACGCCTCCGCACGGTTGGAATAGAATCTGATGTAGGATCTGGTGAGGCGAGACGTCACTTTGGGTAGGAGGCGCTCAAAATGCTCTCACTGCCTCAAGCGAACATGGACTCCATCTCACCGAGATATATCTTCCATAAGCCATATAAAGTTATAATAGAACAAATTGAAGAGCCAGAAGTAGCAGGTACGATTCATATCTACACCGACGGTTCTAAAACAAAACAAGGCTAAGGATGTGGAATATACTCCAGATTCTTAAACCTAAACATAAAATGGGCTGTGAGCAATAGTGCCAGTGTAGTTCAAACAAAGCTAACGGGGATTCTTATAGCAGCAAAAGAAATAACCAGAAACAATATCACTGGAAGAAACATGCTCATCTATACAGATAGCAGACACGCACTACTCACCCTGAACAGACCACGAATTTATTCAGGGTTAGTACTAGAATGTCACAAAACTTTGGCTAAAGTATCCATCAACAATGTGGTCACCTTAAGATAGATCAAAGGTCACGCCACATCTTAAGGTAACCGTCTTACTGATTCACTAGCCAAGAAAGCAGCAAACCAAATACTTTTTGGACCTGTCTCTTCTATTAGCATGACAAAATTAAAGAACATTCCCTTGTGAAATTCAAGGAAAGATGGGATGAAACAAGAAACTGCGAAGTTGCCAGGGAGCTCCTAAGTTATCCTGACAACACTGCAGCAAACAAATACTTTACTATGACTAAACAGAATCTGCGCCTAGTCCACTGATCTGTATTATTTTACTGGATAGGATATAGGCTATATTTAACATACTAAAAAATCGTTCCACCAAGGAGACCGGAAGTGCAACAATGCTGGCCGATTTGGGCAAATTATGGTAGGTTCACAGAACTGAAATTTGGGATAATTTGACATACCTAACCTATAATTTGATTAGTTTTTCTTCTTATTCTTCTTCTATTCCTTTTGCGGGCGATGTCCTTCGGGAAATTTCACCCATGATTTGATTTTTTATGAAAGAAAATATAAAAATTGAAACGTGAAGCATATTGTGTCTTCAGGAATGAACGTTTATTGTTTATTTCATACTCTTTTTACTTTGTTTTCCACAATAAAAACATCTCATCGTAGCTTGTTGACACAATTAAATGACAAATGTGATGACAAATGGAAATAGAGGTTATGTTAAATAACATCCGGTCCGCCATATTATTTGCCCAAATCGGCCAATTTTTCGGAACGTTTTTTAGGGGGCTATATCCTATCCAGTAAAATAATACAGATCAGTGGCCTAGTCACAGGCATTCTGACTGGTCATTGACAAGTACGGAAGCATCTCCATATCATGAGGCTGTCAGATTTCGCACTCTGCAGAGGATGCGAACAAGAAGATCAGACCATCGAGCATATCCTTTACGATTGCTCGACGCTCTCATTTATTAGAAGATTTGTGTTCGGTGAGTACTGGCTAACACCGGCCGATATAAGAGAAGCACCTCTTGGCGACGTTGCCAACTACATTAAATCTGTAGGCTGACTCACGAGCTAGGAGGTGTCTATTATCTTAGGAGGATGTACAATGGGCCTAATGAGGCCTAAGTGCCGTGGGGGTAACCCACCCTCCACACGTTACAGATATACAGAGATATTGATAAAGTGATAGTGCCGGAAACTTTTTGAGGTGGTAAATTATGTTTTAAATACAGATTTGTTAACGTTCTTAACGATAATAAATAATCTTTTAAATGAATTTTCTAATACAAGGTTTTTAACAACCCTAGGACCCCTTTTATGTAGTTTTTAACTCCTAATATAAGGTAACAAACAGATGTAATTTTACTTGATTTATTTTTTGTTAATAAGTAGGAGGTTTCTAACAAACTGTTTTATACAAAAAAAAATGGTCTTTAATAAAAATTATTTTGCCATTAAATTAATTACAGTTGAAAAATTAAATTAAAATAGGACAATGCTGAATGATGTAGTAGTTTACCGTATTTTTTTACTTACATATAAGGCTTTAGAAAGAAGACAAACTTATTTTAAAAACGGCTACTTCTTTAGTTCCAAATACTTCCGTTCAAAATAGTCAAAATATTCAGTGTAAAGGTAACGAAAGCAATGGCAATGTTTTTATCTTAGATGATTTAGAATCAGTTGAAATTGCAGGGTTCATTACAAATATTGCAGAAAGTAGTGTTAAAAATGTTAACAGTAAGGAAAACAAAAATCAATATTTACTGATGGATACAGTTTTAGCTGATTTACCTTCTGAAAATGGTCAGTCAGTTGAGCATATTATTATGGAAGTGGATTCAGCTAACAAGAAGCTGTTTGACTAGATACAAGAGGTTAATTCCAATATTGAGTATCATGTTCTACAAGAAGGTCCAGAAGTTGCACCTAAGGTTTTTGAAACCCTAACTTCTATAAATTTAAATTTTTAAGAAAACCATACAAAGATGTAGAAGAAAGCTATGAAACAACTGATAATAAAGAACAAAATCCAGACTTTAATATTATGCAAGAACTACAAGAAGTTGCAGAAGAAAATAACGGTAATGACAATCTTAGTGATCTCAGTGAAACTGAGATACCAGGTAACAATAATGGAAAGAAAAACAAAACTCGTTTAACTGATGTACGAAGAAAACGTGCAGTTGAGAAAAAAAAAGCATTTAGAAGGAGACGAGTATGAAGGCACGAAGAAGATGATGGCAATACAAATATGTCAAAGTTGGTAAATAAAGAAAACTTTTACTTCTGAGAAATCTAAAAAAACTGGACGACATTGTGCTATTTTTAGTGAAGAAGTCAGACAGGATATTTTTTATAAGTTTTGGAAAAATATGACCTCCTGGGATTTAAGAAAATCAGTTGTTTCTACATTAGTCAATGTAGTTGATAGTAAAAAAATGTTACGAGACGTTCTTGCACATTTTATTATTTTCTTAAAAAGGACTGTACTAAATTTTTGGTTTGTTAGATGTTTTTATTTACACTAGGTCTTAATGAATGATGTGTAGGGAAATGGACTCTTAAAGATGAAAAAATACAGGAATGAACCAAAAAGAAAATTCCACTTTATTTTCTTCTCGAGTAAAGCAAAATATTACGCAACGTGAAACCAAATTTTTTTAGATTTTTTAGAGAATTGCCAAAATTGCCGAGCCCCTTCAACTAAACTTTACCTTGAACCTCTGTATTAAACTAAAAATTTAAATATAAAGTACGCGGAAGAAAAAATGGTACGTTCATTATCACGATATGCTTTTGTTAAAGCGACCTCTGTCATGTCACCATGGTCATATTGCTGAAGATGAGTACCAAGGTCACCTCAAACAAAAATCTGAAGCAATGGACCAAAAGAAGAAAGACAAAATAACAGCAATTGAAAACCCAGATACTGTTTTGGTTATTACTGTAGATATGGAAGCAGTAAAGTTGGCTCCAGTTTAACGTTGTTCTGCAATATAATACAAAACAAACTGGCCACTCATAACTACACTATTTATGACCTAGGCACCAAAAATGTTTATTGTTTCCTATGGGAAGAAACACAAGCATCACTAGATTCTACTAATATTACCATCATTATCTACAGTATGATTCCCTACTTAAAATTAAAAAAGAAACGTACAACCATCTTCAAACTTTAAAAAAGAAATGGATTTAGTTTATTGGTCCTAATATGATAACCTTCCTTATTAGTGTAGTTTATCTAGTAGTTTGCTAACTTTAATATTAATTATTGTTTTTTCCCTGTTTTAAGTATTTTTTTTAACATTGTAGTATAATAATTTAAGTTTTCTTAGAACTGTTTTATTTTGAAATGTATTAGCAACCAAAACATCTCAAAAAGAATGTCCAGAAACTCGTATAAGAATTTTTTTGTAATTTTTACGAAAGCAAAACCTCGTAAGAGATTATAAAACTCTTTAGGAAAGAAACAGCTCTAGTTATTTTTAATTAGTTGTACAATTACTAATTGAACATGAAAAATAAAAAGAAAATTAGATTTTTTTTTTAAATTAACAAAATTATAACGTTTTAATGCTCTCTTGGAAAATTTTGAATTTTTCTCATACGAGGTTTTGCACATTCACCGATGATGTGCTGTTTTTATTAAAATTATACTGTACTTCTATTTTTAATCGCGTTTTAATAATAAACCTCAAACCATTTTAAAAAATATAACGTTTATAAATCGTGTACAGTATATGATTTAAATGATATTGCACACCCAGATCAAAACAGTATTAACTCTATAATTAAGATTTTTAGTTAATCATTTATTCGGATTCTACAAACGAAGTTGCATGAACCAACAAAACAAATTTATCAATTTCTCCAAAAGATGGCGCTTAAAGTACTTTTTGTTGAATAAATGCGCCGCCTATAACTCATCCGCCTAAACTGCAGCAAACTTAGTTTCTGTCAAGCTTTTAGTAGTAAAAAACTGTTTTATTTTAAGTTGCAACAGTTTTGTTGATAAAATTTGTGCATTTGTATTTTGCAATGGACCAAATCCTATCGTCCATTTTTCTAGTTCAAGCATCTCTAAAGTACAGTTCATGGAAAATAAACAAATTGATGCTATATTTCACTAAACGGAAGTGATGAAAGTGATTGACGATTCTAATGCGGATCCAAATGTTGTGTTTCCTGTTGCAAAAACAATACCATCTTAGAAGATATTTGCTTCTTCTTCATCTTCAATCAGCGACAGATTCTCCAGTAATTCATCAAGCGGTAAAGACTGAAGATGAAAACGTAGCTAACCTTAATATCGGAGCACATACTGGATTCAATGACTTTCAAAAACCTACTATTGCTGAAGATCGAAAGAAAAAGTAAGAAAACCATTGAAATCAAAAATGAAACTTGCGACAATATTACAAAATTCTGGAAATCGAAATCGAAGAAACAAGTTCCAGATAGAAATCTTCGTTCGCCTTGTGAAGCCAAGTGTCGGCTGAGTTGTAGAAATATTGTTGAAGAAATGCAAGGCAGCAACTTTTTGGTGCATACTGGAAATTAGCTAATCTTCAAAGGCAAAGAGAGTTTATAGTACGACACTCGCAAAAAATCAAACCAAAGTATAGGTACACAAAATTTGAGCATTTTATTTTGAATTTAATTGGGATAAAAATATAAGTATGTCAAACATTATTCAAATCCAGTGTTGACTTAAATGATAGAATTATTAAAACCATACTTTTAAAGAAATCAGATTCAGGTGTGATAGAAGACGAATTAAAAGTAAAACATGGGAATCAACCAACTATTGACCCACAAGTTAGGAATAGTGTTATAAATTCTATTCTAAGGATTGAATCGCATTATTTGAGAGCTGAACAACAAGAGAATTTATTTGCAATGATAAATCTGTAGCCAATTTATACCGGAATTATAAAACAACGTGCAAACAACGGCTTGTCTTTAGTAACGACATCAAGATTTTACAGAATATTTAATACTGATTTTAATATCTTATTCTTTGTATCAAAAAAAAATCGGTGCGATCTTTACGAAAGTTCAGATGACAAAAATTCAGATAAAGAGAGAAAGCGAAATTTATAACAGAGTTATTAGCAGCACCTCAAAGAATGGACTTCGGCAAGTGAACAAAAAGACAATGACAAGAACAGGACAGACGGTACCATTGTAGCAGTTTACGACTTGCAAGCGGTTATGCGGGTTGGGATCAGACCGAGAAGCTACAGAAATAAGTAGCTGTATGCTTAAACATGTCAAAGCTGTATTACATCAATATATTAAACAGGAAATTGTTATAATTTTCTATTCTAATTGCTGCGGACAACAAAAGGACAAATACCTGTTGTCTATCTACGCTTACATTGTTGTCAACATGAGAGTTAAGTTGATAACGAGCGGACACTCCCAGAATGAAGGTGACAAAGTGCATAGTGTCACAGAAAAATAAATTAAAAGACACTTAAAATCAGGCTTAATCTACTCACCGCAAACGTATTCCACTTTGATTCGTACAGTCAAAAAGACAGGACATCCTTACAAAGTTGTTGAAATGACTCATGATAAGTTTTACGACATAAAAGTTTTGCAAGAATCATGGGGCAATAATTTTAATATTGACGAAGATAGACCTAAAGTCAAGTGGCATGACATCAAAATTCTTAAAGTAGAAAAAGAGCACCCTGGGGAATTTTTTTAAAAAACATCATTTGTAGACAAAATTTTCAAAAAAACTTTTGCGCTTAAGAGAAGAGATGCAAATCAGTCGTTTGTTACTGATGATTTGACGCGAGCATATACAGGGAAAATTCCATTATTTGATGTGAAAAGAAACGATATTCAAGAACTGATTGATAGAAATGTTATACAAAAACAGTATGAATCCTATTTTAAAAAAATATGTTATGACATAATTAAATTTTTATACAATCTAGAATATAACAATAGTTGTTTTAAGTGTACCTTAATTTTTTACTATGTATGTAGAACTAAGAATAAATCTATTTACTTTTTACTTTCCTATCTGTATACAGATATAAGGAAATTATAGGAATCATGATTTTTTTCGACCTCGAGTTTTCGACGGATTTTTACGTTTTGAGGTCCCCTGTTTTGACTATTTTTATTTGAGTATTTATTTTTGATGTATGTATGTGTGTGTGTGTGTGTGTGTGTGTGTGTGTGTGTGTGTGTGTGTGTGTGTGTGTGTGTGTGTGTGTGTGTGTGTGTGTGTGTGTGTGTGTGTGTGTGTGTGTGTGTGTGTGTGTGTGTGTGTGTGTGTGTGTGTGTGTGTGTGTGTGTGTGTGTGTGTGTGTGTGTGTGTGTGTGTGTGTGTGTGTGTGTGTGTGTGTGTGTGTGTGTGTGTGTGTGTGTGTGTGTGTGTGTGTGTGTGTGTGTGTGTGTGTGTGTGTGTGTGTGTGTGTGTGTGTGTGTGTGTGTGTGTGTGTGTGTGTGTGTGTGTGTGTGTGTGTGTGTGTGTGTGTGTGTGTGTGTGTGTGTGTGTGTGTGTGTGTGTGTGTGTGTGTGTGTGTGTGTGTGTGTGTGTGTGTGTGTGTGTGTGTGTGTGTGTGTGTGTGTGTGTGTGTGTGTGTGTGTGTGTGTGTGTGTGTGTGTGTGTGTGTGTGTGTGTGTGTGTGTGTGTGTGTGTGTGTGTGTGTGTGTGTGTGTGTGTGTGTGTGTGTGTGTGTGTGTGTGTGTGTGTGTGTGTGTGTGTGTGTGTGTGTGTGTGTGTGTGTGTGTGTGTGTGTGTGTGTGTGTGTGTGTGTGTGTGTGTGTGTGTGTGTGTGTGTGTGTGTGTGTGTGTGTGTGTGTGTGTGTGTGTGTGTGTGTGTGTGTGTGTGTGTGTGTGTGTGTGTGTGTGTGTGTGTGTGTGTGTGTGTGTGTGTGTGTGTGTGTGTGTGTGTGTGTGTGTGTGTGTGTGTGTGTGTGTGTGTGTGTGTGTGTGTTGTGTGTGTGTGTCGCATAACTCATGAACCGATACACAGAAAAACACCAAATTTTAAACTTAAGCTTTATTCCAGCGTCTAATGAACAGCTAGGGGGTACTTTATAGGTGGTCATTTTTATATTTTATGGAATATATCTGTTATTTACGTTTGGAGAAGAAAATTCTTTAAATAAAAGTTACTTTTAATATAATTATCTATAATTTTTGTTTCATACAAAATTTTCCTAAAATCGTCCGTATTCGAGAAATTTGACAAAATGTAAAAAAAATAATTTTTTATAAAAATTGTTCAAATAAAAGTTGTTTGTAATATAATTCTCTATAATTTTTATTATATACATAATTTCTCTAAAATGGACCGTATTCGAGATATTTGAGAAAATGTGTAAATTTCGAATTTTGAAGAAACCTCAAAAACGGATAAAGAAAAAAATATTAAATTTTAAACTTAAGTTTTATTTCGGACTGACGTGAAATGATTAGATTTTGGACATAGTCGGAATATCTGGGGGGTACTTTATGGGAGGCCACTTTTATATTTTATGGAATATATCTGTTATTAATGTTTGGAGCAAAAATTGTTCAAATAAAAGTTATTTCTAATATTATTATCTATAATTTTTGTTTTATGTAAAAATTTCCTGAAATGGTCCGTATTCGAGAAGTTTGACAAAATGTGCAAAATTCTGATTTTTATGAAAGTTTTTGAAATAAAAGTTGTTTGCGATATCGATCTCTATAATTTTTGTTTATACATGATTTTTCTAAAATGGACCGTAATGAAAAAATTGTAGGAAATTTAAATGTTTCAGTATTTTCGTTTTCCATGAATAGGTATCTATAGAAAACTGTTTCGAGGTAGATGTATGTGGACAATGTATATATTTAGTTTATCCTCTAAACATTTATAGAGATGCTGCAATAGGTTTTACAAAATAACCGGAAAAAGCCTATAATAACTAGATAAGAAAGTCATGTGTTGGACACATTAGATTTTTTTGTTTAATTATATGTT